AGTCAATCCCACTATTCATTGGTAAAAGAGTAGCCCAAGAGTTGGTGGTGGGTGGTGATGATTATCTGCCTTCCCTCTAGTCTACCACTACTTCAGTTTGCCCTTCAAGAAGAAAGGTCTAGTTTTTTAAAGTGCTCAGGTTATAGAGTTTTGTATCTTTGTGTTAAATTGGTTTCTTGAGCCTACATGTGTTTTTTTATCATCTTGACTGTTAAATTATCGATGGATAGTGTAGATAGCTCTCAAGTAGCTCTTCACGAAATTCAAAACAAATTAACATTTACAACATGCTGCATTCACACTGACACAAGTTGTAGACCTAGGTTTACAAACAAATTCTCCACCTAAAATGAAACTACTGTGTTCATAATGTAGTAATAATGTTTAACAGAAATATACTCAATTGATAACAAACCTAACATACTTATTAACTTTACTTAAAAACTATTCAATATTTTACACACGTAGGTCAACATCAAAGGGGTCAGGAATATATCACTATGTTTAAGTTTTTCAAGATGGCGCATTTGAGCAATAATGTCCACCATTTTGAAGTAACAACTAGTATGTTCCAACTGAATAGTAGTTAATATCTTGCCAAATGAAAACAAAATCCATTGTGAGAATGATTAAGATAATCTGGAAAAGTATAACAAAAATTTGGTGTTCCTCAATTATTATAAACTATAATAATGTGAGGTGAATGTGAATCAGTGAAGTGTTTAAGCTCAGATTCATGAACATTAAAGCCTTGAGCATTCCACTGTAGAATTTGAAGATGGGAGATCATCACAAGACATCATGAACAACCTGTGGTTTAAGGATCTGATATCCAAGATGTTTTGTGCTGCCTTTGTAATAATTTTAACCCTTCCCAGCTAGTATGTAACTGATAACAACCTTATATATAACTTCCACAACAAAAGAGACAGTCCAATTGAGAATAATTTGGGTAGAACTATCAACTGTTTTAGTCTAAGTAGCAACTGAAACACTAAGGGATTGCCCCTATATCAAAGGTGCCATATTGGAAATGTTGTAAGAGGATGTTCTTCGTAAGGTGCCTTTCTGGTAAATTTGTTAAAAAGCAAACGAGACTTTCTAGAAGGTAAATGTTGTTCTGCACTAAAGCATTCAATCTCCTTAGTTTGTAAAATTGGACCCTTAGATTTGTGCAGAATATGCTTCACTACAAATAACACAATTAATGGACTTCTTGTCCCAATCCAATGCCTCGTATTTAGCACACAGAGCCCAACTACAACAGTGGGCAGCAATATTTTCAAAGGAATAACGGTGAAAATGATGTACTTTATTATTCATGTAAAGTCTGACAGAGAAGAATTCAAAATCAATAATAATGTGAGCGGGTAAAATTTTTGTCCTCAATAGCACTCCAAGTATCTGCAGGATTTTATTTAGTTAGTTGTATGACATCTAGGATCTTGTAAGCAGAATTGCAAAGTTCCTCACGCAGATCCTCCATACCTATCTCTAGCTACACTCAAGAAACAATTCCTCTGCATTTTCTACTGGATCTTGAAAATTGGAGAGTCACAGATCATTAAACTAGTTGAAATACTAGAAGCAAAGTCTGAGCAGAAGAGTAGGATTTGACTTCCACCACCACACCTCTGTCAACAAGTTTTCACAGTTCATTTGTTTCAAAACTCTAATCAAGATTAATTCATTGCATATACTCAGGTTAACTTGTGTACAGTGGAGCAGTATAACAGGGTTTTATTTTATGTATTGATTATTACTTTCGTGAAAAAGTGGAGTGTCTTCAGATTTTATTGGTGATTATTCAGTAATAACTTTTTTTAGCATGGAGTCTGGAAGCTTTGTTAGAAGAATGTTGAATAATCGCCTCAGGAACAGTAGCATTATTGTGAGAGCCTTCTGATTCCATACTATCAACTACCTACTAATTTCAAATTAGCCAGGAAAGGAACAAAGAACAGCATTCTAACATTAATTTAAGCCTAACTTGACCACAGACAAAGATTCAAGGGAGGCTTAGCAAATAACACATCCTCAGGAGAGATCATCTTCAGTCTCTATGGCTATTCAGAGGCTGTATAGAAAATTTGAAAAATCCAGGTGCCCACTTAGAGATAGCTTATTAGATTAAAGCAACATTAGCATGAATAATTAAATTAGTAAAAAAAATACAAAATATAACAAAAGAATATAAATATTACTACGAAAATGTAAGAATGTAAGCAAGAAACAACTAAAGTTAAGATAATTTTCTCACTCATTCATGTCTCCTAGGCCTACTTCATAGTTCATAGTCTACCACAAAATCCACTCTTATCAGCTAACCATTGACATTTTTAGACTCACTGGAGTTAATTTTGTCAATCAGCTCAATGCTATGATTATATTACAACAAAATCCTGTAAAAGAAAAGTTAATCTACTCTGGTGTAATTTGCGTTTTTATACCACTCAAACCATTTCCTATTTTTTCAACTTGATATGAATAGCTCAGAAAAAGCGACATTAATGCAGTTGAACATTTGCCTCTTATTCTTATTTCAAATAAAACGAAGGGGTTGCAAAAGTATGGACTTGTGATTACACAGCTTTTTGTAAATATAAACATATATATAACGTTGTCTAAGTAATTCTAGCTAACATTTATATAATAAAACTTGATCTGTTATTCGCTAAATTAAAATTATTTATTAGATGATATATCAAGCAACAATTCTTTGTCTGGTCAGAAATTGTGAATTAATTAAACAAGATACTTACACAGCTTCTACAAATGTAGACAAAGATAATATGTCAGAATCACTTTTCACACTAGGCGATGTTCTCACGTGTTCCCGGACTCCAACTAGCTTCAGAACTAAATATTTGAAGATGTTAAATAACTGTGTTTCCATTCAGAGCTCGATTACTGTTACTACGGACAACTGAAAATAGCTGCATTTAATTTTGTAATCTATGTTGATTACTTAACTAATAAAAAGGAAACATTATATATTAAAGATTTTCTCAAAAGTTTTGACTTATTCTAAAATAAAATGGAATGTACATTGATTGTCCGCTATATTATGACCCCTGTTCATATCAGGTTAAACCAATTGTTATGCAGTAATAACCTAAATTTATCTTTGTGGTATCATTAAGTAAAGAATCAGTTACATGCAGGTATCTATTTGTTTGTCTTTATAGTAAAGCCACAGTGGACTATATGCTGTTTCTACCACAGGGGATCGAATATGCTGTTTCTACCACAGGGGAATCGATCCATAGGGGAACCAATCGCAGTTTCAAGAGTAAATCTAAAATCTAGCTGGCGGTGAGCCATTGATATTTGAAGAATGAAGTCCGAATAGTTTAAGCATAAAAAATTGGCATGTGTTGGAAATAAAGTGTAAGGTGTAAATAAAGAAGTTAATGGCGCAAAAACAAGAAGAAAAAAAGTTTTACACAGCAACAAAGTTGAAATAATACTGCTCATTTGACAGACTTTTTTGAACAGGTCTTTGCCTCTCTGAAGGCAAATAGTATGACAAAGAGGACAAAACTGACCCAAATCTACAAAGGTTCAAAACATACACATATCCAGTTAGAGGACAAAGAAATTATTCGATGACGAGGAACCCACTTTAAGACTAATAATGGTTGGAGACGGCTTGAATGGGTAATGAAGAAAAACTTTAATATAAGTTTAATATAACAGCAAATGTACAGTGTTTCGACAAGGTTTTGTCATCATCGGGTACAAGTAGTTTACATTGACACAGATATATATGTCTACATATATATATATACAGTATGGAACAAAGAGGTCACATGACCGTATAGTACCAGTTGTTTGCAGTATCAGTTTGTCAGGTTATCGTGGTCATCCCAATATGTGTTTGGCTTTTGTGAAGTTGTTTGCAATGCCAATTGTCAGGTTACCGTGGTCGTCCCAATATGTGTTTGGCTTTTGTGGAGTTGTTTGCAATGCCAATTGTCAGGTTACCGTGGTCGTCCCAATATGTGCTTGGCTTTTGTGAAGTTGTTTGCAGTGCCAATTGTTAGATTACCGTGGTTGTCCCAATAGGTGTTTGGCTTTTGTGAAGTTGTTTGCAGTGTCGGTTTGTCAGGTTACCATGGTCGTCCCAATAGGCACTTGGCTTTTGTGAAGTTGTTTGCAATATCAGTTGTCAAGTTACCGTGGTCGTCACAATAGGCGTTTGGCTTTTGTGAAGTTGTTTGCAGTGCCAATTGTCAGGTTACCGTGGACGAATATATCATCCTCTTCCCTGCCAGCAAACAAAAAGATAATAATAATAATAACAGAGTGAAAATTTACCCGAAGTCCAGTCACTGACAAACACATAGGGTCAGCCTCTTCCATATGGATATAAAATTAAATAGTACGTTACATTTAATTTCAAATTTTAACCTAGGCCCGGGCCTCGCTGACCTCATAGCTAGCTAAGGTCATGCTTGCTTCATCCTCCCTTCCAAAGGCTCAGGCCACTCTGTGTTGTCCTGGCTACTCCACCCGTATCTACGCCAATCACACACTATGTCCTTGTCTTAGAGTTATTGTCGTTCCACACTTCCCGAAATCAGACTGTTAGTCATATATACTAACATAAAAACGCAAGTACTCCATATTTACTTGTAAAAGAAACTGTAAACTATAAAAGTTTTGTTTTTAAGTCAATATGTGAAAAAAACAAAAAACATTAAACTCGGTGTTTCTCGCGATTAAAAAGGAAGAAGAAAAAACAAGGCTTAGAAAGCCCCTAATCTTTACAGCGTTAGAAGTTGACAAAACTTAGAAAGCAGAAAAGAATGTAGGGTTGTTAGTTGTGTACATGAACATTTACAATGTTATGTCGCATGTTAACTTGCGATTAATAAACCTGCACTTCATGTTTCAGTTTTATGTGTTCGAGTTGTAAAAGCTGCTTTATTATTTTTCATATTTAATACTTGATTAACATAATCTTCGTTTGAGTCTTTTAAAGCAATAAAAATAATTTTATATTTAGTTCTAGATAGCATAACAACTGTGCATTTGTTGCTGGATTAGCACACAACAACGCAGAGTTTAAATGATCCTAAAACGTGCTTTCCCGAGATTATCCTTCAGATTATACACACACACACATATATATATATAAACAAAAATGTTAACATGTTTATGGAAATAAAACTGCTATGATTGTGTTTTATTATCAACGTTACAATTTTTTAAAAAAGTATATTTTAATAACCAACATTATTTCACGGCTTCTCTTTTTTTAAATTGTTTTTAGATCAGCACATACAACGAAAGTCTAAATAAAATTATTTTCAAAAGGTTAAAGTACGAGACAAGCTTCTACATTAAACTGTATTTACCATTTTCATATTGCTTTTTTGTGACGTATCCATATCCGGCAAGATCCAACATCGAGAAAAGTGCTCGTATGTTATCGTCCTTCAACAACAGAGGTGTCTTTTCTCTGCCATTTGACATTTCCTTAAGTAAACTAATTATGAAAGCTCTCGGTTTGTCTGTTTAAAAAGTAAGAAGAAAAAACTAAATTACGAAAAGGCCTGTTTCTTCTGTTAAAATAAAACTACCTTTATTAGAAAATATTTCGTTGATAACGTTTTTATACACCGTAAACAGTTTTTGAGTTGAAATGTTACTACTTGAGCTCATTTATTAATAACCCATCTTTTGTTTTTTTCCTAATTTAACATGGTTCTTAATCCAGAAAAAATTTTTCTATTAGGCTTAAATCTAAGTATAAATAATAATTGGTATTTTGTTTATACTGTTGCGTCAGCGAGTCACATGACTGGTGTGATGCCACGTTTCTAGAACTATCCCGTATCTTGGCGAATGCTCTAGAATTTACTAGATGGGGGGTAGACTGGTATATAAAGGAGGGTGACAACGTGACGGGAGTTTAATGTAATGTGTGTG